AAAAATAAAGATATTTGAAAAGTTCCTTGAGGATGTTGAGTCTAATGTATAAATGTCTCTTAAATTCATTAAATCATCTACAAAGGAATACATGATTTTAGTAGAGTTTTGAGTACTGCAGTTCCCAGAAATAGGTTATTAAACACTAGAATGTCTATCCAAAAGATATCATCAACCTGTCAGGTTGCTCAGTTGGTTGGAGCTCCATCCTGTACACCAAAATGTTGTGGGTTCAGTTCTTGGTCAGGGTACATAACCCTCTGGGTTTGGGTTCCAGGGTGTATATAGGAGGCCATTAGTCAATATTTCTCCCTCTCCCCCACCTTCCTCTTTCTCTAAAATCAATAAATATATCCTCGAGTGAGGGTTAAAAAATGTACCAGCAATTATATTTCAGTATTAGGTGATACATTTCATTTTCTCAATATTTAGATGCCATTAGTAGTTGGGTTTTTTAATGAGTAAAAAGTTGCAGACATCAGTGTATAATGTAAACACTAAGAAAATAAAAATATCGTGGTTCCTGTATTTGTGAAACTTCTAAAATCTTTAATATACTTTTGTATACAATGTGGTAGATTTTTTTCTCTCAAAAATACAAAGTTATTTTCTTTAGTTTAATTGTTCTGTTTCTGTTATTGTTTTTATTTTAGGGACTAGAGAAATATAAAAAGGAAGAAAACTTTGGAGGACAAATGAGACTATAACATAAAAACTTATTTACCACTGCCTTCTGTTGTACAATTTTCTCAAATCAACACTATTTGGTTAAGGAAATAGACAGTGTTACTGATAGGCACGGACCACTAACCCAAGAATGGTGGTACTGTTCAACTACCATCTCTTTTCTTGACCTTGGCATTATTGACATTTTGGACAGGATAACCATTTTTGCAGCTTATGGACTGCACAGTATTTTGCAGCAGCAGCCCTGGCCTCTACATACTAGATGTATACACCTCCCCAAGGTGTGACAACTAGAAATGCCTTCAGATTTTGCTCTATGGCTCTGTGGGGGTAAAATCACCCCTGGTTGAAAACCACTGGTCTACAGGTTAGCAATCATATCTATAATGTAGTCTCATTATGAATCAAGGCCCTAAGCATTGAGAAATGTTATCTGTTCCCAAGGATCCACTTATAATTTATGTCTGGATGATATATAGACTTGTTTACTCCATCAGTTCAATCCTAAAAACACATGTGTTGAACTAGAGAAAAAGGCAACTTAAGTGACGCTATGGCACTAAGAGTGCTGTACTTCTCAGTGTCCTCCCTTCTGGCCATCATCACGTAACCAACACAATGGGAGTAGTCGTATTCATTAGTTAAAAAAATATTTTATTTCAATGTTTCAAAAGCAAGGTCTCAAGATGGTGGTTTTCTTTGTAAGATAGAAAGTGACAGAGCTTTAAGGCATCAGGCTGCCCTGGTCACATGGCTCAGTAGGTTGGAGCATCATCCAGTACATCAAAAGGTTGCCAGTTCCGACTCCCAGTCAGGGCACATGCCTAGGTTGTTGACTTGATCCTGGTTGGGGTGCATTCAGGAGTCAACAAATTGATGCTTCTCTCTCACATTGATGTCTCTCTTTCTCTCTCTCTCTCTCTCTCTCCCCATTTCCCTCTAAAAATCTATGGAAACACATCCTCAGGTGAGGAATAAAAGACATAAAGGCCAAATGTCCCCTGGAGGTCATGCTATATGAAGAATTCAAATTTTTCTTTCTCTTGGACTCCTAAAACAATCATATTTTGCACTAATTTTTAACCTTTTCCCCACATCCTAATTCCTTATACATAGCCAGTAGCTTTCAGTGCAGTACTCTTACACTGCCTTCCGTGCATCACTTCCCCTCTGAACTTAAAGACAGTGGCAGTACAACAGTTGGAGGTGAAAAAATCTTTAGTGAGTTCTAGGCGGTGGCCAGCCTCAAAGCTTTAAAGAAGCAGGGGCAAAAGACAAAGCTAAGAGGAGCACAAAGGAGTATTAGCAATATGGATAATTTAGCAGGGGACTTAAACAGTATCAATGGTGATGGTAAAGGAGCTGACATTTATGGTATCATAACATTTACCAGGAATTGACCTAAGTACTTTGCATAGATAGTATCACTTCACTCAAAAACTCCTATAATTTTCTTACTATTGCTATTTCCAGCATACAAATCAGGAAATGAAGGCAAGGAGTTTTAAAATATCTTTCTCAACGTGATGCAACCAGTGTGGGAGAAAAGTGACGGAGAAAGGAAAACCATCAAGGACAAAACTAAAGCTGCTCATGAGGACTTGCAGACAATGCATTCATTGTGCTGCAGCTAATGCAATTCTGCTATCAATCCTTCCCTCTCCAAGTCTCATTCTCAGTTTCAAATTCCAAGAGAGTACATCTAATATGCTTAGCTATGGCCTGCCCCTGTTAAATTAATAAGCTATGATTAAAAAGCATAATAATGTAATACAGATATGGTCAACCCTGTATATGAGGGGCACAGCCTAGAAATGCAATACTGGTTGTAAGTGGGCAGCCACTCCAAGTGGTATCTACTTTATGACCCAGTGATGTAAGGAGCTATCACAATTTTCTGCAGCTGACATGTGATCCAAAAATTGGAATTATATTCATTAAGTTAAATATATAATGTTTAGCGTTATTATTTTTTAGTTTCTCTGAAGTGTGTATATGTATTAATTGAATTGGGAACCATCTAGTATCATTTTTCTTATAATGAAAAACTTCCTGAAGAAGCCCATTTTACACTGAGATGATACACTTCTATTTCTTCTATTTCTGACACCATGCTATTTTAGTTATCTGAATGAGCCACTTGCTGAAAACGACAACAACAAAAAAATGCTGGGTTAAAAAATAATCAAATACAGCCTGGCTGGTGTAGCTCAGTGGATTGAGCATAGGCCTGTGAAGCAAAGGGTTGCCAGTTCTTCCAGTCAGGGCACATGCTTGGGTTGCAGGCCAGGTCCCCAGTAGGGGACACATGAGAGGCAACCACACATTGATGTTTCTCTCCCACTCTTTCTCCTTCCCATCCCCTCTCTCTAAAAAATAAATACATAAAATATTTTAAAAAATAATAATCAAATACATTGACGAACTGGTAAGAAATGAAGAAATTCTTGGGGCAGGTGGGAGGAGGAAGAAAAAGAAAAATATCCTGAGAAAAAAAGTGAGAGCCAATGTAGACTCTTGTTACAAGATTATCTGTCAAGTTCTGTACACCTAGAGCTGCTGCTTTAATAGCTGTGCAGTTAGTTGCCACAGTCAGGAAATAATGGCAAGGGCCCATGTAAAAGGGGGAGTTTATTAGGAGACAAATATCTGGGGCCCAAAGGGCTGCATTCCCAGTATAAAGGTGAATGAAAAAAACACCGGATGCACAGGTAAGGAAAAATGCCTGTCTTGACCTTGGAACCCAGGAAAGAAAGAAAAAGTCTTCCCTTCAAATATATAAAAAGCTGTTTGGATTTTAGGCCCAAATTCAATTTACCTGTTTAATTCAATACATCTCCAGTGAAGAATTTAATCTGGTCCTAGGGTTTTTGCTACCTGGAAGCAATTTGCAGAAGCAAATTCTATTACTATTTAGAAAAACTCACTTTCAACTCAAGTCTCAAGGAATCCTCACAGTTACAACCCCAGAAAGATGAGTACAAAATCAAAAATCACAAGACACAAGGAAAGAAGCACCATGAGCAAAAGCTAGAAGAAATAACAGGCAGCACAAAAGACTCATACAATTTTCAATATTGGATTTAACAGGCACAAATTATAGACTGTGTTTAATTTGCATTAAAAATTTTGAAAATGGCTCAAAAATAAAACCAAATAGAAATTCCAAAAATAAAAACTATTTGAAAATTTCAAGGCGAACCACTTAAAAAAAAGATGAGGAGAAATGGAGAATAAACTGAGATATCTGTTTTACAGATGTTCTAAGAGATAATGAAGAAAATGGGAAACAAGCAACACTACAGATAAAATCATTAAGAATTTCCTAGAATTGTTGCAGGACAATAATCCTGAGATTCAGGAATCTTCTCAAATGGTTAAAAAAATTTTTTTTAAGGAAAGAAAGGAAGTTAGGGAGAGAAGGAAGGAATGAAGGAAAGAAGGGAGGGAAGAATCATACCTAGATTCATTGCTTTGAAACCGTGAAAACAGAGATCTTAAAAGCAGCCAGAAGGAAGGAAGAAGGTAGAGGAGGAGGACTGGACACTAGGTTTTAGACAGAAAAACAGAAAATAAATTAGGTAATTATTATTAGGATTGAAGTAAATTTTCTTCGCGATTCGTGAATATGACAGGTAAGTGTCCTTATTAAAAGCAGTGAAAATGTCTTCAGTACAAGGAGGGGGAAGCAGGAAACATAAATTCATAAAGTGTTTCGACTTCAATGAAATATATAACATTAAGTTATGAACTAAAAACAAATTTCCACAAAGCACGAAGAAAACAGGTGGAAAATAATAGCCAACCTTTACTGAATCCAAACATTTTTAAGAGAAAAACTGAACAGTGAGGGAATATCACGGGTGAACATTTGCAAAGTGGAGTCAGAATGCAGAAAAAGACAACGCACAGGACCATATATGTCTAATACAGGCTATTTAGTAACCGTAAAGTTACTCTTAGCACTGCTCATTAGATATTAAGGCTTCGTTCCTTATCCCTGCTATTTTTTTTTTTTGCGAATACAGTTTGTACGTATAGATCAGTTTCATTAGAATGACGATGAGATGGACCACAGAATATATACTTTTGAGAAGTATTTATGCATCTCAATATGGAAAATATTCACTTCATATTTAATATAAGCTTTTAAGTTAATTGTAAGCAGACGTCCCATTTATGTTTTTAGGAGTGTGTACTGAGGATAAATTCCAGCACCGAGTTCTGTTTTCAAAGAGCTCAAATTGCCCGAACTTTGCTGGATATTCTAGCATTCGATATTTTTCTAGCATTACTTGAGACCCATGACTCACAAATGCCAGGGAACGTAATCACAGCAGTAAGAACAGGTGAAAAGTTGTTCCTGGTTGTGTTACATAGGCGCATACAATTCCCGTCATTCCCTGTACAGAAATCAACAAATACACAGAGGCACCGCAGATTCTGTTGCGCAGCGCTCCCTACGGTTCCTGGTATTTGTAGTATTCTGATGAAACACTGCCAGCGTGTTAACTCTTGCTGCAGAGGGAATAAAACTACACTTCCCACAATGGCGCGAAAACGTCACAGGTCAGCCTACGTCATTACTTCAGCCAACCAATGACAGCTCCGGGCGGCAGTGAGGCAGCGCCGTCGGGCGCCAAAGTGGTTTTTTTCTTTTTTTTTTTTCCGCCGAAGCTGAGCGGGCGCTGCTAGCGGAGGCGCCATATTGGAAGGGACAAAACTCCGGCGACAGCGAGTGACACAAATAAACCCCCGGACCCCCTCGTTCTCTAAGAGCTAAAGGCCCGCGATGTTGTACCTAGAGGACTATCTCGAAAGTGAGTGGGCAGCGCTGGCGGGAGCAGCCTGTGGGAACTGCGGGCGGGCAGGAGCGCGAGTGGACGGGATGGCGGGATGGCGGGAGGGAGGGGGAGGCGGGGGATGTTTCTTTCTCACGGTAACTGGCAGCCTCGCTCTGGGCCGGTGGCTCCCTCGACCCCCCCACGCACGCATGCACGCAGTGACGTAGGCGCGTACTTTCGCCGTTGGCCCCGCCCCTCTGACGGACTCTACCTTTGACAGTGATTGAGCAGCTTCCAATGGACCTGCGGGACCGCTTCACGGAGATGCGAGAGATGGACCTGCAGGTGCAGAGTAAGTCGGCGCGTTTAACCTTGTTTGCTGTGCACTTTCAGTGCCCATCGACTCCAGCGCCTCTACTATTTGACTCTCCTCCTGCTCACTGACAAGTACATAGGAATTGTCAAAAAGAATTCTCAATGACAAATCCTGCCTCTTATTGCCTCCCACTCTGCTTTCTCCTGGCTTTGACAAGAGGGGACATTAGACATTAGAAGGCTTGTGTGTTTTTTTCTTGAATTTTGGGCTGTGCAATAAATTTCCTGTACCCTCCTTGAGGATGCAGATACATGTTTTAATTCACATCGGCATAAATGTCAAAATTTTGACTTTGAGCCTTTATGTATTGAACATAGATTTTAGCATTTATACTTTTGTTAAAGTTCATCCTAATAGAAACTTTTCAAGAGCAGAAAACACATAGAAGCACGGATTATATGTGGTTTGTTTTTTCTTTAAAGACCCTTGACATTTCAAATTCGAAAAGTTACATATTATAGAATATATTCTTAGTTGTCAACGGCATGGTGTATTGTTAGTCAAAATAAATGAGGAAAATAAAAAATTTGTCTCTTCTGTTAGTGATAGCTTGGTAATTTAGTAACTTTTTTCCAAAATTAATCTTGCTTTTTCATAACAGCATTATTTGGTTTATAGGATTTTTTCTGTGAAGTTTCTTAAAAGGGTTAATAATTCAAAAAGAATCAGTGCCTTTGGAGATAAGAAGGTGAATACTTAGAGCAACATTACACTTAAAACAAGAAAACTGCTCGGGCTGGTGTAGCTCAGTGGGCTGGGTGTTGTACTGCATGCGGAAGGGTCACTGGTTTGATTACAGTGATTCATGCCTCCAGAGTACGTGCCTGGATTGTCGGCCAGGTACCTCGTGAGAGTATGTTAGAGGCAGCCTATTCTCAACCAGTTGATGTTTCTCTTGCACATAGATGTTTTTTCTCCTTTCTCACTCCCCTCCTGTCTTTTTTAAAAAGAAATAAAATCTTTAAAAAACAAACAGGAAAACAGTCATGAGTACCAAATTTATGGTCATTATGTTTTGAGAGAACCTCACAAATCTCCCCCCCTAAAGTAAATATAATATAGCTGTTTACTGCCTCGTGTAGATACTATATTAAAAATTAAGAATGTGAAATAAATTGTATGACACACAATGAAAATGAATAATCAAGTACTTTTTTGGCCATATGTCACTTTCTTTCTTTGGAGAAATGTAGGTACTCTTTAATAAAATTACTTAAGTGATATTAATGACTAGCCTTCATGGGGTATGTCTGCAGAAGACATTTTTCTTAATCTCATTTATTCTGTGTGTTAGGCTATACAGAAAATGTTTCTAGGGCTGCTAGATTTTCTTATAAAAGTACTGGTGAAGGAAGAGCTGGTTTTTAGGGTGTGATAAAGAGGAAAAGAAGTATCATGAAAAGAGATCAGAGAACCAACATTCCAGAGTGTGGGAGTCTTGAGGTAGCTAAGAATCTGTTCTTTTCTCTCCCCTTGCTTCTCTGCCCCACCACCACCACCACCACATACAACTCATTGTTCAGGAATATGGTTTTCTCAGCCCATTGTCATTTCCATGTGGCACATAATACAGGTGATATATGAAACCCACCCTCTTTTATTCAGTGTATTGTGGTGTGGATGTCTGAATTCTGTGCTTATCCACTTGCCTACAAAGTGTAAAGTTAAAACTACATTTTAACTTTAATGCTACATTTAATGTAGTTGAAATGCTAGAGATTTTCTTAAGTAGCAGTGCTGTCTATAGGTTTGAACACAGATTTTGATGTCAGATCTGAGTTCATTTTAGGGCTTTACTGACTTATCTATTGACCTTGATCTTGTTACCTCTTCTGAGGAGTTTTCATTGTCTATAAAATGAGAACCATCTGAAAATTAAAGTAATACAGAAATTAGAACATATAGTACCTGAAACAAAGTAGGCATTGAATATGGAGTTGCTTATTTTATGCTTTTTTATTATCATTACCAATTTTAAATTTTCTTGTAATTTGGACTTAGCTTATGCAAATTAGAGGTCTTTAAACTTTTATTTAAAAATAATAATTAGAATTTTCTAAAATTAATAGGTATCATGGATTCACAAAAGAGGCCTGGTTAAGCAAATATATTTGGCAATGCTTATTTAAGTAAAGAAAAATTCTTTTAAAAAGTTAACTGTAAGACTTATCACTGGAAATTTCCACAATTTTGAAGGATAGAGTAAAAAAAGTTTTCAATTTACATGGCAAAAGAATCCCTTTTATTTATTTTTTCTTTTTTAGCAGTCATGAAATGAGGTGACTGTTCTTGGCAGTCATTTAGAAAAAAAATTACCTAGAATAAATAAAACTGTATTTAGTGAATAAATGATTGTACATACTGCATTTAATCATGATATGAGGTGATTGTGTATTTAAGGCCATATGGTAAGAGGTTAATATCTTTTTTATCACTTTTTTGTATTAAAAGAAATGTGACAAATATCTAGTGGTGCTTGCAATAAGAAATTGTGTTTTGGCATATTTGGCTGATTTAATAGCATTAGCTTTTGACCTCAGCATATTCAGAAACTATGGTATAGAGCCTGTCTATGTTGTTGACTACGTTGACTATTGGGAAAAGTTCTGAAATAACAACAAGAATAAATTATTAGAGAATATTGTAACTTTCTTTTTTACTAAGGTAATTAAAGTATGATATACTCACATAACTAAAGCATGACATATTTAAGTTAGTGGCCAAGCGAAGGAGTGTATGGTGTCAGATATTTGTCCCCCCCATCAAACATGTATATTAAGTGTATGGATTTAGCCATCTGAATAGGAAATGCTTTTATTATGTTGTAGATGCAATGGATCAACTAGAACAAAGAGTCAGTGAATTCTTTATGAATGCAAAGAAAAATAAACCAGAGTGGAGAGAAGAACAAATGGCATCCATCAAAAAAGTATGTTCAACCGTCTGGGTGATTTGTTAGTTAAAAGTGGGACCTCTCAGAAAGATATTTTAAAATTAAATAGTTTTCTGGCTATCAAAATAAGGGAACATTTTCAGAATGTAAACATTCCCTTACTTAGAATGTAAATAATTGTTGTGTTTTAGAGCTTCAGGTGTAGGAATTTTTAATCATTGAAGTATTTTGGTAAAAAATTATTTCAGTAGTAAGTGACTTTTATTAGAGAATCATAGTACCATAAAATATACACTTTTAATTAGCAAATCTTGAAGCATACTTTTTATATTGCTAGTTACCTAAATAGGTGGACTCACAGAACATAATCTTAAGAGCTGTAGGGATCCTTAAAAAATTTTTTACTTTAAAATTCTAAACTTATACATGAGTTAGGTCCAGAAATAAAGAATTCTTTGTGTTTTTAATTAGTTGTATAGTACTTAAAGTTATCATCAGAGTAGAATGGCTATCAGCTGTCCCTCTAAGATTTACTTTAAAGGTATGATCTAGTTTTTCAGGGGTACATTGAAAGAACTCTTTAAGCACCTGGCTTTGGTTATGACTCTGCCATTTAGCTCTGTGACAGTGGACAGGTCCTTTAATATCTCTTAGTAATAATGGTTCCCCCAGCCCCAACCTTCATAGAGTTGTTCAAGGATCAACTAATAAGTTCAAAACCTACCAAATAAATGACCAATTACCAAATAAATTTGCATAATTTATTTTACCACATGGAGGGTGATTATTTCTGTTAGGATAAGAAAAATTTTAGAATTTATGACAGTTGGTCCTGGTTTAGAGGACACTTGGTGACTTACATGTGTTTGAGTATAGACATAACATATATATCTCCTAAACACATTCCTTATGACTTTTACCTGTTACATTTTGGGGGTAATACAGAAAAGTCTAGTAGTACATGGAAATTTATAGAATCCATTTTTTAAAACAATAATTTTATTTATACTCAGGAAAAATCTAAACTGTAGGTTGAGTTGTACGAATTGAGATCTAACTTAAAATGAGAGTTATAGAGCAATTGGAAAATAGGGACATGCAAGGCAGAATTTTTTTAGTAGTTGTATTTTCATTAAAAAAGTTTTAAAAGTGGAGACCTTAAATGTTCCCTACAAATTAGACAGATCTTAACTAAAAAAAACTTTTTTGAAAGAAAAAGATAATTTATTAGCTCATATAACTTTTACTGGTATGGAGGCTAGACTTGGAATAGTATTTTTATTTATATCTTTTCTAGGAATTCTGAACATCTTTCTTTAATTCTTGGCCATTGTGCATAATTTCTAATCCTGTCTAACTTCCACCCTCTCCTTAACTGGATTTTTATTACTTATTTAGGATGACTCAGTGATAACAAGGTATGATAATTTTAAGATTATTAATTTACTCTTGAAATGAAAATTTTTTATTTAGGATTACTATAAAGCTTTGGAAGATGCAGATGAGAAGGTACAGTTGGCAAACCAGATATATGATTTGGTAAGTAAAATTAATGTGCATGATATGCCATAAATACTGAATTATGTTTATTTAAAATATTATTGGCTTAAATGTAATAAGAACAGACTAAAACATTTAATTTGAGAGTTTGGTGTCTATTTGGTTTCATTGTGGAAAAGAGTCCTAGAATGTCTACAGTGTTTACTTACAGGTCAAGATCCTCACATTTTAGCCAAATCTACATGCCTTCAAATTGCATCTGATGTTAGACTTTTTTTTGTTTTTGTTTTTTTTAACAGGAATTAGTGTTTAGCTTTATTTTAGTAATCTTTATCTTTTTAAGGTAGTGTGTTTACTTTCCTGATAAATCACGTTGGGATTGTTTCTGTGGTAAAATACACCTAAGACCGTGTTGACAAGAGTTCCTGTAGTCCAGTTAGAAGGAAGAAGATCATACTCACCTGTATTCAGTGATGTCAATAGACAGTACACAAACACAGCTGCCTGAGGTGTCAAAAATGGGAAACAGTAGATTAAATGAACTTTAAAAGAAGGGTTTTTTTTTTTTTTGCAGCAATGCTTATTAGAGATTGAAATCACTATTAAGGCAAGTATACACAATATTTCTCAAGCTGGTATAAATATGGTGCTCTTTTTAGTGTAAAGCATCTTCTCCTAAATTAGCTGCTTTAAGTAGTACTCATTTTTGGTTTGGCCTCAAGGCAAGTTGAAGCTGAAAACAAATGTTCACTTTTGGTTAACTTTACCATATAGATTTTATATCTTATTTTATAATCTTTTCTGGACACAATCTTACTACTGAATAGGTACATGTAAATTTCATGATCATTGGTAAGCAAGACACAGAAAAAGATGCATACTACATACGGTGTACATTATCAGTACTTATACAAAACTAGAAAACATTTGTCATGTAAAGCCATCGAAAATGTTTAGTTGTTTTTACATACTGAAAATATTTATGGCTATAATAACCTAGGCTTGTTTGTCTCTACAATTATTCTGAAAAATAATCATTTTTTCAGAATAGGTAGAGGGGGCTATAGCTTGATTTACTGTGGAATGAAAAAAGTTCTTAACTGTTCTGATCTTGCATTATGTTTAGAAACATAGAAAACAACATTGTTATTTGAACCCAAGACTAATTTTTTTAGTAACATTCTTCCTCATATTAAATGACTATATGTGTCCATTTTTATTTAGAGACTACCTGCTTTTTAAATCATACAGCTCTTTGGTTCTATTCTGTTTTGTTTGTTTTTGTTATTTCCCTTCTTTTTATACCTTTATTAAAAATAATTCAGGCATTTACAAAAATACATGTAACATAAATATATGCTTTTTAAATGTGTGTGTATCTATCTGTTACTTATGAACCACAGTTTTCATCCACTCTGTGCTTGATATAATGGAATTTACCTGGGTATAATGGAGGAGTAAAGAGAAAATACTACGAATAGCTCCTGTTTTTAAGGTAAACTAGTTGGGAAGACATGCCCACAAAATAAAGTGAAGAGCCTGAATAGAAGCATATAACAAATAAAGATCATTGAAGTTGAGTATTAAGGTGTATCTAGTAAAAGACTGAGCTAAGCCATGTGGAGTTATTGTTGATTTCTTGGAAGATACAAGTTTTGAATTTATTCAGAGGCTCAGGGGTCTGGGCTAGGCATTATACTGAGGGGAAAGCATTTCACTCAGAAAAAAATGAAGATTAAAATTAAATTCTTTGTGGAGGGTAGATTATTTACTTAGAGAATAGGTAATAAAAAAGTGATGTGATTTAGCAAAAGGTAATAAAAACAGGTTTTATAACAGATCTATACAGACAAGATTTCAGCTATTCACTAATAGCAGGCCTTTGGAAAAGTTGTTCAATTGTGGAACCTCACTTTTTTTACCTTTGAAACAGGAGCATTAATTTGCACCTTGAAGGAGGAGTTACCATGTATAAATGTGATGCTTTTAGTAGGCATCGCTCCTTCTTTAAATCCTCATTCCATCTCATTTCTCTGACTGACATTTTCTACTTTCTTGAAGCCACTTTTCCAGCTCTGCCAGGCTGAACCTGTTCTATTCCCATTCCCTCAGTGTTTCTAGCACTGCCTTTTGTCTTCTCATCATTCGTTTTCTCTCCTCCTTCCCTTTCCTGCCTCCTCCTCTGCTTCCTTTTTACTTTTTTCCCTCTCAGACCTTTCCTCCTTTTTTAATACTCCATTGCTATTTCAAGTGACCATTGTATTCATAATATAAAAATCAATTCTTCTTTGAGACTTAATATTAATCATCAGTATTATTCTCTCACCTTTGTGGCTTTCTCTTCCTTCCTGAATATCACTTATAATGGTTGCCATTCCCCAGGGTTTGGTGCTTGACCTTTGTTGTGCCCTACTCTATTCAAGTTGTTTCTTAGTATATAGAGGTTAACTCTCTTCCCATGGGGGTTCCCCCAGTTCCAGAGACCAGGAAGACCAAATGCCACATGGTGAAGACTTATTTATATTACAGTAATATAAAAATGCCAGTTTTACCTCCTTTGTGCCCGCACACACCACCCAAGTTGAAAAACATTCCTCCTCCGTTACTTTTCTGTGTGTTCTCTTAGTTTTAACGATTATACATTAATTATTCCTCAAGCTCAGATTTTTCTTCTGAGTCTGTCTGTCTGAACTCTGAGAGTTCCTAGGCCCTGGAACTGGGTGTATTAAAACTTAACTCATAGCCTCTCCTTTTTCTTCTCTCACTCTCTCAGCAACGCCCCCCCCCCCCCCCCCCCCACACACACACATTTTCTTTCTTAATCTCAGGAGAACCACCCACCTCCTAGTCATTCACATTGGAATACTGAAAGCCTCCTGGTCTCCCAACCTTCCCCACATTTAATCAATCACCATGTCTTGTTAATTTTAGTTTCAAGTATGTACCTCTCATCATCCCTTCCTCTTCACTTCAGCATGCTATTGTCCAAGTACTTTAAAAAGAAAAAATTGCGTGGAGTACCTTGCCTTTTCATCTTTGCTTGGTAAATTTTATCTTTCATAATCCTACACAGGCATTGCTTCTATATTAAAGTCATCTCAACAATCTTGATATTTGTGTCATTTATATCTAGAAGAGGCTTGACAACTTATAAGAGAAAAGCTACACAATGGTGATTGAATCAAAAGATTTATTTTTTATTTCATGTAAAATAACTGTTCTCAGAGAAGATAAACCAGGGCTCCAACATCCTCTGGTTCCCAGACTTTCCAGTGTGTTCCCCCTCCTGGACAAGCGGAAGAACTGCAGTAGGGGAATCCTCAAAAGGGCTCATTTTACAGTCTGTCAGCTCCTTTGAAGAGCCTTCCTGAAAGTCTCACCGGCAGACTTCCTGCTGGAAAGGAGGCTGAAAAAGTCATGTAGCAGGGCACATTGCCAGCCCTGTACGTGGGCTATAAGGAGGAAGGAGAGAATGCATGTTGAGTACCTAATTAGCAGTTCGTGCCTTGCCCTACCCTCAAGGGAATCATGCCAGCCTCCAAATCATTGTTAATCACAGTGATTAACAATGAATTTATTGTTACTCAAAATGTGTTGTAGTCATTTATTTACTTTTTTTACTTTTATTTACCTTTTACCTTTCGTCTTTTCCCTGCTAAGTGAATGTCAAGAACCATGTCCTTTTATGTGTGTGTCTTCATAGTTACTCCTCAATAAATATTTGTTAAACAAATCACCTGGGTAAGTTGATGGAGAAAAAGGAGCAGTAATATGACTCCCGAGATATGAGTCTTAGTGATAGATAGAGTTTGATGGTGTCATTGTTGGTGTCAGACACAGTTTAGTTGGCTGATAATTTCTTAAAAGGTAATAGAGTTACAGTGTAGTATGCTGAGATTGGTTTGGTAGACTGCAGTGCAAATAGCCACTTCTTTTCAGAGTATGACTTTAAACCAGGAAAAGGGAAAGTAATATAGTTCAGGGAAGTTTAGTTTCCTTTATGGAATCATTTTCAGACACCAAACAATTTTATGACCCATGACTTTGCTCAATTACTTTTGGTGTCCTTCTTTTTAAATTGCTCTCTTCCCCTTAATAATCATACATTACATATAATTTTTTTACTGTTTTCAATACCTTTGCTTTTAGAAAGGTTTCTTTTAAATTATAATAAAACATTTATTAAACATTATTAGACCTTGCTCTTGCCAGTGTGGCTTGGTTGGATGTCATTCCACAAACAGAGATGTCACAGGTTCAATTCCTGGTTGGGAGCATATGCCTAAGTTGTGGGTTTGGTCCCCAGTCAGGGTGCGTGCAAGAGGCAACCAATGGATGTTTCTCTTTCACATTGATGTTTCCCTTCCTTCTCTCTCTCTCCCCCCTCTCTGGAATCAATAAGAGAAAAAAAATTTTTAAATATGATTAGACCTTACTATACAAAGTAATGACAATACTGAGTATCCAGTTAACTCATTTCCAATAAAGTCTTAGATGATTATTATTTCATCCTCACCTGAGGACACGCTTATTAATTTTTAGAGGGGGAAGAGAGGGAGAGAAAAATAGATGTGAAAGAGAAACGTTGACCTATTGCCTCTTGTATGCACCTGGACCCGGGAGACTACCCAAAACCCAGGCATGTGCCCTGACTGGAAATTAAAGCTGGGACCTTTTAGTTTATAGGATGACACTCCAACCAACTGAGCCACTCCTGCCAGGGTCTATTTTATTATTTCTGTAAAATAATTAAATTAGCTGTAACCAGGGCCCCAGAGGGTAGGTGAGGTTCTAAGTCATTATGTACCCTCATAGCCTGGGACAGTAGATTAGTTGACTCGTGCATAAAAGGACAAAGAAGACTTTTTGGAGGTAATCCAACCCAATATTTTCCCAACTTCAATCATTTGCATTCCACCTTTTAAGGTTTTTACAATATGTCCATAGCCCCTGTACATCTATTTACCAAGTAACTTTTAAAATGAAATTTAAGGGGTAAACTTACAAATTTGATATTACTTACAGAAATGAAAACTAGC